GCCGTGAGTGTGACGTCCTCGTCGACACTCTTGGGAAAGTCGGGCGCTTCAAATCCATCAATACGGTCAAGAGCACGAGCGACAGGATGTCGGTCGTGATCCTGTCCGGATGCAAGGCCAGAAGAGTACATGATTGGTGATGCGACGAAGCTCGGCTCAGCACGAGAGAATAGTTCATCTTCGGCTGATGGCGTAGATATGAGCTCGGAACTGGGGGACATGAAGTCGACTATTGGCAAGTCGGACGAAGTCGACGGGCGACGAATGGCACGGCGGCCACCGAGCAGAGCATACGTCTCTTCGTCATCTGCGTCCTCCTCTTCGCCTGCACCGCGATCGTCGTCGGCAATCCAGGACATGTCGTCGCGAATAGACCCCTCGCGAATAGAGCTCTCACGAACAGAATCGTCTGTAGCAAGGCCCATAGCCTCGTCAACATCCTCCTCATCCATCTGCGCCTCCTCAGTCTGAAGCTCTTCATCGTCGTCCAGGACTGTACCGACGTCGTCCGAGTCGTCTTCATCCTCGTCAGCCAAAGAGGCTGTCGTCGACTTACTTCGCGAGCCTGCTGTACGAGCAAGGTCGAGTTGTTGCGACTCGAGAATCTGTCCCGACTGATCGAGGATGGCGTCTAGGTGCTCTCGGCCCAACCGCTTCTCCTCCTCTTCCCGTTCCACCCTGTCTTGCTCTCGCAGATGCTACATTTCGCGTTACTACCCGCACTTATTGTTCGAAACAAATCACTCACGTAGACAGCCTTCTTCCATTCCCCAATAACCAACTTCATCGTCGCTTTCGCCAGCCCGCGAAGCCTCTTCTCCTCCGCCAACCGCGCCTTGTCCTCCTTCGCAGCGTGAGCCTCCCAGTATCCTCTGACCTTGGACGCCACTGCTGCTGCGGTCTGTGTGTCCGTATCCAGATCGTGCGACTCATGCCACAATCGCACATCTTCTACCACGTAGTCCCAGATCGTGCGAGGATCGTGCTGCTCGACGTCCCGAGCGACATCCTCACCCGTCGCCAATGCTTCTGCCTCTTCAGCGGACAAGAGCATGCGACCACGTCTGCGTAAAGCGGCCACTCTCTCGAGCACCTCTGCATCCGCTCGCACCTCAGCATCCAGATCTGGTGCTGTGCCTCCCAGCCTTTCGCTGTTGAGACTCTCGAGTGCGGCCGATAACGAACCCCCGTAAGCCTGAGGCGGTGGCTTTTGGGTAGGAGACGAGTAGTATGGCTCCGGTGTGCGCACGATAAGTCTAATGCGCTTGACTGGAGAAGGCGGTTGAGTCCCAAGACTATATTGGCCGTGAGACTTTCGACGCGCGACCGGTGCAGAGGGTGTCGGCGTGAAAGGCATGTCAATAATCTCTGTATGCGCAACAGCCAGACCCATGTCCGTCTTCCGCCTTTTGCGAGGTGAGGCGGATTCGTCAACGTTAGGCTCCATATCCGTTGCCGTGCGAACAAGCTTCCTTGGTCGTCCCCTCGGCCGTCCAGGCGTAGGTGTGGTAGGAACCGCAACACGAGATTTGCCCTTTTCGCCGCCTTTCAAAGGAAGAGGTGCAGATATTGATGCCACCGCAGGCTCCGTGACGCGTGACGGAGTAGGTCTGCCATAGCCTTTCTTAATGGGTTTGCCGCCAGAAAGCACGTCCCAAATGCGGTTATTCGAGCTTCCGTTCGGTGCCGGTGACGATGAAGATCCCACGTGCGCGCCTTTGGCATTTGCGGGACTTTGGAGTGTCGCAGCTACCTCCTGCCGCGCTCGACGCGTCGTGCGCCCTCCCGGCGCGTCCTGAAGCAAGTCGCGTTTCTTCTCTTGTTTCCACTACAATATATTGTCAGAAACTTTGCTACCGGTATATATGGCGGAACGCACCTTTTGCCAGACTTCGGACGTGTCTGCCTTGGCTTCCTTTTTAGCAAGTCCAACTTCAGTGAGAGACAGCCTTCCATTCATAACGTGATGACGTACCTGGTGATTATATGATACCAAAGTGACAAAACGGTCGAGATGAAACTCTTCTCTGACCTGTGTGGGTTGAGATAATATGAGTTCGGATGCATTTGAAAGCGAGATGTCAAGCGCACCAAGTCGTCATGCCGGCTCAATAGCTGATCAAGCTCCGTTTGTTTCGCTCTCAAAAGCGCGTCCCGCTCCTGCGCAACGTCCTTGGACATCGCAGCGTTTCCAGCTCCAAACTTTGCGCGAGGCTTCGAGTCGTAAAGGCGAGCACCAGTCATGTTTGCTCAGCAACAAGCATCCCTCAGATGATCTCGACAGATACCGAGCGAGAGTACACCAGCCTTTCGCCTACACGTAAAGATAAACGTGTAAATCCCAGTACGAGGAACAGCAGGCGGAAGCAGGTGCTTTAGACGATCGTGGGCTGAAGAGAACATTACCGCCATCGCGGAGCGCGGGTGAGTGTGCGCGTGTCCCACGCCTGCTGTTCAACTCATTGAGCCAATCGCGTCGTGCAGCATCTTTGCAGTTGACCACGATGTCCGCGCCAGAAGGTTGCAAAGCATGCTCGGGCTCTCCCACCTTGGAATACGAATACACGATGTCTATCAGTGTCTTTCTGCAGTGCCATTATTCAGAATAACCATGATTTAAATATGCATCATGTGGGCGCGTCGAACTCTCCGTACTACGTGGGGCTTTGTCCAGCTATACGCTAAGGCGAACTCTCTCGATAAGATGGACATATACGTAGCCTAACCGTACTGAAGGCCGCATCTACAGTTTCACAACGACACGAAGGTCTACAGGCACCCACACTCCAGAGGGCGCGTCCTTTTGGGATCAGCGACCCGGAAGAATTCCACAAGGCCGGTGGTCCCCTGGCAACAACTGCCCTCGAAGCTGCTTTTGGAACAACTCAGCGTGCCACCTCCGGCACAGAGCATGTGGCCTGTGATAACTACTGGTTTCACCCTACTTGGAACCCCCTTCACACTCGACGCTGCGTAGCAATCCCAGTACGAAGAGTGAGCGACGTGCGTTAGTAGTACGTACCTCTCATCTCGCAGCCCGTACTCTTGATTGACATGTTGCCGATACTCAGGAGCGTGTGTACCTTTCTACTGACTCCGTCGCTGACCTAGGCCGTCTTGACGACCTCCGATCGCATTTCTACTTAAGCCGTTGCCCTATAGCAGCGCGCCGCTCTTCATTCCTCCGCGCCCTCGTGCGCGTGTGCCATTCTTTTGTTTCTGCGCTGAGCGCCAAACACGCCGCCAGCTGCAGGATACGCCTACTCGTCAGCAATTGGGAACTGGGTAGACAAGGGGATCCCATCACGGTCATTTCGGTCGTCTCTCAGCTTGCTGTGAAAACATACTTAGCGCGCGCTTCCACTGCCGTGTAAGACCCACCCTCTTTGGTCTGCGTTCAGCACAACTACTCTCGTGCTCAAGCGCTCGAAGGGCCACTCCGCTCTCTTCTTCGATAAGCCTGCCGTTGCAGTGCTACATTCCCCTCCTTTGGCCCCCTGGTGGCGCTCCGCACTCGCTCGCGAGTCCACATCTATCGCGTCTAGCGCAATTCGCGCTTCGACAAGCTGTCTTTACTCGAACTCTACCCTTCCTATGCCCGCATCTCCGGGCAGCTCGGTGACACAGTCACCCGCAACAGACGGTAGCGGCGATGGCTCGCGCACCTCCGTACCTTCTCTCATCTGGGTTTCCTTCTGCATCGCGACCGGCCTACCTCTCGCAATCGCCGGATTACGTTTATGTCAATGGCGAATATCACAGGCAGTTGCGATCGGCCTGGCCTTGGGGGTATCTGGTAGGTGTTGTACGCTACACCCCGGGATAACACAATTGACCAGGCGCATTCAGCTTGGGCCGGGCTCATAAATACCATGACCGCACCAGGCATCAGCGATACTCTACTCACGATCATCGTCTGCGGACTGATGGGCGGAGGCTTCGCACTCGGTTTATTCCCCTTCATGCGCATTGGCGGGCTAGCGCTCCTGGGCCTCCTCGGCGGACTCGCATTCGGCCTCCGGGTCGTCCTTCTGAAGGAGAACCTTCTCATCCCTTCCTTCGCTCTGAACTGGGTTATAGTCGCCGTAATGGCCGTCCCAAGTCTCGCGCTGGTCATCTGGAAACCAAGGATAGGCACCGTGCGTTCTGCATCTCCAGTTACATAGCTCCGAATTACTGACTCTCACTTAGCTCTTTGGCGTCACGTCTATCGGGACCTTCCTTCTTGCACTCGCAATAGACCTTCTTCTGCACACGACGACGGCCATGAGCGTGGGACTCCGTATACTCTTTGATGGAAATTCTTCGCATACCGACGTAGGATGAGTTATCTTCAATTATGCGCACTGCTCTAACTATGCACTACAGGCAATTGGCGCTCTTTCCTATGCACCCCCCTTAACCACGCAGATCATCCTAGGTGTCTCCCTCGCGCTCACGTACGTTCCACCTCATCAGTTCCCAGGTCGACTTTATTGACCAGTGCGCATTAGCCCTATCCTATCTTACCTCCAGCATAAGATGTTTCCGCCACCTTCATCGCGCAACAGCATCCTCAGTATATCGAACTGGGAATCATCCGCTGCCGTGGCCGCCAACCTCGAGTTCTCCCTTGGCTCACGAGACGTATACAGCCAGCCCAGCAGCGATGCGGAAAAGGGGGGGCCTCGACGGGGTGCCGGCTCAGCTAGCCGCTTTAGCTTTTCATAGAGGCCCCTCATTCCTCCGCACCCACCTCATTCGCTTTGCCTTCAACCATTTTCCTCCCATGTCGTCTAAACCACGCTTACGGACGTTTTCTACCTAGTTGCACGGCCATTCTTGGGATACTGGGAGTTGTCCTTCACACTCAAGTCTTTTTTGGTGCACCTTATGGCGCTTGGTACTTGTTCATGATCACAATGCATGTATTTGTATGTATTTGAGCAAGTAATCAGACTTCGCACGCGGTGGAATTCAAGTCGTTGGCTCATCTCGTAACTACAACCAAGCCACCCATGCCTTCGATAGCTCAGTTGGAAGAGCGTGGGACTGTAATGGATAAACCGGCATCCCGAGGTCACTGGTTCGATCCCGGTTCGAAGGACTGCGTTTTGCTGCGCTTCTTCTTGTACCGCTGTTGTACCGTTGATAATTCACTGTGCATACTGAAAGCCTAGGATCAGCACATATCAAGTTTTCGGCAATGTCAAAGCGGCCGCGTTGTGCTGCCGGGCCTTTCTTCTGGCCACAATCACTATCATATGCCCGTCTCCCTCGTACACAAGCACAGCCTTCATCTTGGTTCAGCGACCATAGTAGTATATCATATACACGCTTTCCAATACACCTCAATCCCTTTCAGTCCGCGTGGGCGCATGCGCATGTTGAGTCTACTGGTCATCTTCTACGCCACATGCGCCTGAGGTTTATAGGTGGATGGTAGCTCAGTCAGTGTATCGGTCGCGAGCTACTCCAAATATGCGTCACTCTAGAGAGTATACATGAAGCGCGGATGGCGGTCACCGAGACGGCGACGTTCTGCACGGGAATCCCAGGCACCATTTGGCTGCTCTTGCTCGAGTCGCATGAGTTCTCCCCGCTTCCGCTTGTTCGCGAGGCTCAACTGGACGATAATCGCAAATGTAACCACCGCTCCGGCCAAAGAGAAGGCGAGATTGATGCTGGATGCGATGTGGAAGCGTGGAGGATCGGTGAACAGCCACGTCGAGACGATGCCGCCCGTGTTCGTCGCAATAAAGGCCCACGCGATGGCGGTAGCTCGACGAAAGTGAGGTTGAACATTGTTCGAGTTCCAAGTGCCGATGCATGGCGCGATGTTGTAGACACCAATGATCTGGAGGAATAGAGCGCCATAGTCGGCATGCTTGCTCCCCGTGCCAATGAAGACGGTGTAGCCTGCAGCGGCCAGAAGAGAGCTGAAGACGGCAAATGCCCCACGCTGCTTGTATTTGTCTGAAACCCATGCGATCAAGAGACTGAGAACGAATGAGCATGCATATGGTGGAACTGTCAAGAGTTGTGTGCGCGTCGTGGAGTAACCGAATGCTCCAACGATGGTCGGTGTGAAGTTGGCTAATCCGTAAAGCTAGGAATTGACCGTCAGCTGAGGTGGTCCTCGTGTCAGATAACGAGGTATTTACTGTGACCCCGTTGAAGAAAAGAGGGAGCGAGAGAAGCATGACGTGCGGGGCATCCGTGAATGCGGACAAAACTTCCGACCAGGAGAACACTTCGATCTCCTTGCCGTCCTCATCGGCATCGCCACTCCAATCCTGGGAAAGGGCATCGACATATGCCTCGCGCTCAGCCTGAGATAAGAATCCGCAGGTTCTCGGGCTCTGCGGTATGATGAAGAAGGAGACGAGTCCAAAGATTGTAGTGAAGAGACCCTCCTACGGAAGGTAAATTGTTAGAACACTCTTGTACGGCCAGGGAAGGATCTCACCAATATGAATATCCATGCCCAACCAGGAAGATTCCTATCACCGTCCATCTTCTCGATGGCAGCAGCCAGGAGACCTGAGAAGGCGCCCGCGAGTGAGGCGGCACTAAACATCATGGAGAAGCGTAGCTGCATATCATGCCTTCGGTAGAATGAAGATAGATAGAGAGTGATACCGGGGAATAATCTGCGTCTTGCGTGAGTACTAAGCGGACTTGACCAAGTAGACATCTCGTACCCTCCCTCGAGCGCCCCCAAGAAGAAACGACAGGCCAGTAAACTGCCGTATGATGTCACAGCGCCCTGGCAAGCGGTGACCATTCCCCATAGAGTAACCATGACGGGGAGCGTAACATTTGGTCCGAGCCTCTTCATGAGGAGGTTCATCGGTAGCTCCATGACGATGTACGGTACACTGAGATTTGAAGTAAGAATGAGTTCACCGGTCGACAGCTATTCGGGCTTACTATGTGATGGTTAACGCTACACTGAAGTCGTGAGACGTCATATGAAGGTCTTCTGTAAGACCAGCAACTTTGGCGTTCCCTATATTCGAACGATCCTGAGGTAGATGATAAGTCACGCGAAGATACTCAGATCGCCATTGCAACATACCAAGAACGAAAGCAGATCTGCGCCTTATATGAGATCCGTATCATTGTATTACAAGTATGTGAAACTTACAGTACATGCCTACCAGTGGTATTACCACCACATCCACCTTCCATTGCGCTGAACGAACAAGCGCTGGGTTGGCGAGAGAAAATCCGTCATCAGGGTTGGAGGCAACCTTGCGGGAGGACTCGGCATCGCTGGACGACGTCTCGCCTGGTACAGATGAAGAGCGCCGCGGTATGTTCGACATGGTGGTGGTCGCTGATAGCTTGAAGCCGACGGCGAGAAGGCGACTCGGAGCAAGCGATTTATGTCTTTATGGTACTTCTCGCGCAGAGAAGCACGTCGCAAGCCGAGAATCGCAAGCGTCCGGGTTATACGGGTATCAGGTACTGATGCGAAGATCACACTCGTCCAGGTGCTCGCGCAGGTGCCATCAGGCAGAAAGAAGCTGCATTACATTCAAGAAGACGCGGGCGCGAAGTTGGTCCGACCAGGTTCCAGTTGACCGCACAGGGCGCCAGAACGCTCATGATACGTTTAGGGCAGCTTTCGAGGAGTGTTCATGCTAACGACACTACGATAGGTAACTGCGGACCATCTTCAAGCCTACTCTTGACGAACGGCTGCAATGTGGACGATATGCCGTAGGTGATCTCATCCCCAGGATCGGCGAACGAGAAACGACGAATCATAGCAGATATAACGACCTAAAAACTAGAAGTGAGTGCGGGTCATGTCTGGTCCATAGGGCCTACGAACCTTGAACTCATGAATGGCTTGCGGGAGATACGGTTAGACGACTCGGATGCTTTGAAGGATGAGACTCATCGCACCTAAGCGCATGCCGACGCAATCGCGCGGTCCGTCGCTGAAGGCCAAAGTGTTGGACCATCCGTCTAGTAACTTCTCGCGTGGCGGCATAACTCCCAACCAACGATCTGGTATGAACTCGTCAGGATTGTCCCATATATCCTCCTGGCGTTGCATAGCTATGCTTGGGATGATGACGGTCTTCATGCTGGTTAGTCAATCCTCTGCATCCTCCACACACGTGAATTGTACTTACTTGGCCAGGTCGTACAATAACCTCACGAACCTCCTGTCCTGAAGTGAGACGCACAGGAAAGCGTAGTGGGATTATATCATCCTTTTGGGCTACACGTTCTAAGTATGGCACGGCCGGATACAGCCGCAGACTAGCGAAGACGGTGAGCCTCGTAAAATTAGTTTGCGAATATTGAAAGCTGACGTCTCGCGCAAAACCGCGTCCAGATATGGCAGTTTGGTTTGAAAATCTTCGTAGCTGGGCTCTCCCGGGAAGGTCTCAAGTTCGCGCCTCAAGCGTTGCTGAGTCTCGGGGTGACGAGCAAGCTCCCATAGAGCAAATGCCAATGTGTTGGCGCTCGTTTCGTGGCCTGCTATGACAAAAGTTGATATCTGAACTAGTTCAGTTTTGTGTTGAATTGCACAGGGGAAGATGAGACGCACATGCTCGAGGAGCTCCGAGCGGGAGACTTGTTGCTGGGTTTCAGCAAGCACTTTCGCTCCCTCAGTATGTTGCCGAGTGTCTGTAAAGTGACGAAGACGCACGAAGCCTGCTGAGGAGGTCCTTCTCGGCCTGGTGGAAACTCGCCTCCAAGCGCTCGTTTCGATCAATCATGTCGCGCGCTACCCCATTCTAAGATATCCATCAGTCAATGAGACGCGGAAGACCGGTGCGCATCGCACCTGAACCGCGATCCTTGCAAGCCCTTGGGCTTGAATGGCGGGTATCGGGAGGGAGTTAAGTATTGGAAACCGTCTGAGCAGCATCAAGGTCTGTAGAACATCATCGTCACGGCGTGCTCCTAGCTGTATGTAAGCTGAGGCACTCACGAAGAACCCAACAAAACGAGCCGCTGGGGAGGAGCCTTTCTTGCGCTTGTGTACGATCTGCTGGGCTTCGCTACTATTGCCACCTTCGAAATCGTGACGAAACGCCTATATGGTTGTCAGTACTACGTCGTGATACATATAGACCCGATGACGGCCACCGACCGCGCGCCCAATGATGTTTAGGCTATTCGCAGATTCGTCAAAGCGCAATCATGTAAGGTCAAAACCATCACGCACGATGTCTTGCTAGTCCACGCAGATATATCCAAAGTAACGCCTTTGTGATCGCACTCCACAACGCTCCGAAAGGATTCTATAGCCTGCAAATTACTTTAATGAGCTGATCTCTCCACGAGGTCGAGGACGCTTCGCGGATTCTGACCATCATGGTCGCGTCCCGGATCTCGGAATCCATTGCTTTCACATTTTCCGCACTAAAGGAGAGTTAGGACATAGGACGATTTTCGGAATGATACGGGGTACACACGAGAGTGATGGGCTCACTAGACGCCTCATGCGACGATGCTCAGATTTGCCCTCTACCCATCCCAGGCCCTTGCCCAGTGCTCGCCCCACACGGGGTCGGACAACGCCGCTATGGTCTGACACCCATAAGCGTAATGGTTTGCAGAGGACCGATGCACTCACGATAATCGTAGATTCGCTTCTGCATAAGATGTATGATGCCCTCCGGGTCGGCGAGCACAAGCTATATCCATCAGACATGAGATGCAGCGAAAGAACAGGATCTTACAATGTCGGGAGCCTTGACAGACCAAGAATGAATGTTAGCTTCATTCTGAGAAGAGAGCACTAGGGACTTACGCCGAGGGAAGCCTTGATCTTGAACGTCAACCCGCACTCTGCGAACCACCGACGATATGCACGACCGGGCTCTGACACGAACACAGTCTTTTCATGACCCCATGGCCATTCCAAACCGGTACGCTATAACCGATGAGATGATGCAGTCTCGTTAGATGGATGTACGCACTGGTGTCGGTAGACCTCGGAGGGTATGTGCTCGTCGCCAGCTTGTACGGATTATCTCAATAATGAGTGCAGACAAGCAAGTAGAGGCGATGATGAAAGAGTGACTGTAGCTTGCCATCTTCGCTGAGGCGATCGGCAAGCAAGCGGTGTCTGTC